TCGTTGGCATAGTTTGAAATGTCCCTGGTCTGGAATCGTTGTCCTGTTGAATTTCTTTCTGTGGTTGGAAGATGTTATATTTCCTATACTTTTGATATTGGGTATCCACGATCGAAAGCATGAAACATTTCAACACTGATCCAAGTTCGTATCATGGCAACACGTTTTGTGTTGATTACACTGCAACAATGAGGCCACATGAGAAGGTGCAAATTCGTCCGTGGAAACACTTTACATTTAATTTTTACTTTACACCATTGTGCTGGCAAATGTGTTGGACGTAGATATTTTCTGTCAAAATTGGAAATTGGAGCCTGACCGGTAGAAAATCGAACATATTTGCACACCAAAGTGTTCGATGACCACACATAAACATATTTTCCTCGGCATTCGTCGGCTTAGTACTATAAGCCGATCTCCAAGCAAACATTCACGAAGATGCAAAGGTTTCATGTCTACTATTTCATTGAATTTCCAAATTTCGGCGTCGTTGGCAAGATTTGTCGTACCTATGTTTCATGGTCGAGTTTATCAATAAATATTTCCGTGCTTGGTTAGGATACCCGTGCTTGGTTAGGTTAGAAAATGTACCTGCGACAATTCGTATACCATCTGTGGGTTTACCTATCCCAGCTATCATCGAGAGTACGACTCAGTCGTCTTATCTCCACCGTGTTTGGCATGTTGATTCCACTAGTCTTTAATTTGACAAAAGTATTGTAACCAACGCAATTGTGACCTATTGATACATTTTAGATGGTAGAATCGCTTATGATCGCTTGGTTTAGATACATCCAATCTGGTTAGGTAAATTGTCATGGGATATGACAGCTATTTAAACATGGAGTGATGAATGGTATTGAATATATGTTGTAAACCACTACTTCGTAGCTGAACCATTTGTCTACCCTTCTGGCGTCAACCTTCCACATCTGTGGACCACGCTGAAACGTTTCCGAACATAACAGAATCGTTGTACAGTCAACCTTGTCCAATGTGGCCCAAGTCACTCATCACTCATTCTTACTGTATATATGTGTGACAATGTGAACAACTATCAACTGACAAAGTTACCAGGTGGACTGCGGGTTCTGCAACTTGCTGGTGATGGCGCTGTTAAATAGCTTGTAATTCAGTGCGCACTATATATAAATAAATAATTCGTAGATGATCTCGTTTGGCCAATATAACTCGTTGTAGAATGGCATCATCAGACTGGCAATACTTTAAAATCTCTTTTTCAAAATCAAAATGGTCTGAACAGTGGGTTGGGTACCAATTATAGAAATGTGCTCGCTGCTCTGTTTGCATTCTATGGGGTTGAAGTGGAGGCTTTGAGGCAAAGGAGGGGCATGATGTGTCAACTTTATTTAAATATCATTTTGCTTTATCTGTTATCCCAAATATTCTGGTCATTTACTTAATAGGCAAATGCAGATAACTGAAGAAATTTTTAAATTGTACGTTCCCACTTTCATGAAAATGATCTTGGATTCATTCATAGTAACGTTAGGAAATTTGGTTCCTAGTTCTGAACATTATTTCTAAATAAACTGTCCGTCGTATACCAGAAATTGTGAGCGATCACCATAGCGTATTGAAAACAAATGGAGTAGGGTTTCGCGTCATCTCCGTCCCTGTTGTACTCGGTGGGATCCAAAACAATCATGTTTACCTAGAAGCACGCCACAGTTACAACGGTGATGAAAAAAAAAGGTTCCCGAAAACAATGATAACAAACACTATGATTGGTTCAATATGTTAGGAATCTGATTCCTTGTATTTTGAGGACATTCAAAACTAAAAACAAAATAACATCTTTTTTTTCTTCTGATAATCCAATAAATGGTCTCAATCGTTGTCATATGTCTGAATGTGACAATAACGATCCAACTGGACGACTTAACAACACATACTTCATTTCTTTTCTGGACAAACGTGTGAATTTTTGGAATTAGTACGAGAATTCTGTTGCTGGATTTTTTTCAAAGAGTTTTAAATCATTTCTTGTCCTACTTGAACACAATGTCTCGACGATAAACACAAATATATCTAGGCAGAATGAGTGTTTTCCGGATTGTTGAATCCTTGGTCGCATTTGTCTAAATAGTAATCCGAGTACTTTGATGCTGAAAATGACACCGAAATTATTTTGGTGATGACAGATGTCAATGCATTTTCCGTGTAGAAAATGGGGTCCTCAAAACACGAGACCTCCACTAATGGATTGAGGGTAAACTTTTATCGTATAGCGATGAGCTAGTACTGCATCAGTTTTCTGCATTTCATGAGCTCTAAATACGATTTCTTTCGAAACTTGTTTCAAAGGAGTCTCTGCTTCTATTTGTTGTTGGATCTTCTAATCATCATCCATTCTGGTGCATCGGTTTTCACCTTGTGAACTCTACCTATCACCATCGCGCTGACTAAGCACAGTTGCTCTATATTATTTGTAGTCTTGATGATATTTCTTGGTAGTCTGAAGACTGTATTTGCCGCTGCCACAAGAAAATGAAAAGTGTATTACATAAAGATCGCTTTTCGATCCAAAATGTCAAACTCAGAGATTCATTGTTCGACATGATGAATTTTGCCCAAGATTTTGGATCCAAAAATTACAGACCAAATATTACCTCTAAACTATATTCAGATAATATGAGAAAATTATGTTAAACAAGTTTTTACAATTACTTACTAGACTGAGATTTTAACGAACCTTCAATAAGGATTCCTATCGATTAATTTTTTCAATAACGCAAATGGAAGAAGTATATCATATCATAATTCAAAACAAGGGATTGATTTCTGTTTTATATTTTGTTACATAAGAAACTTTTCTTGACGAGGTATATAATCTGGCCTCTGTTTCAAGCGTAATAGACAGGGATTATCTTGTACATTTTATCAACGGTTTGAAACTATATATAGATTCAAATTCAAATAAGTGTTTGTGGGTGTTTTTCGTCAAAATGAAAAACAAAGCAAACAACAAAAACATGTTATTGCTGTTGTTCTGGGGCTTAACGCCATTTTTCATCATCTAATAGACTATACATGGTGGCCAGTATTATTGGTGGAGGAATAAACCGGGAAATCCGCGGAAAGAACCACCGACCCACGAGAAGCTACTGGCAAGCTTTCTCACATATCGACATTTGCTGAATCTTAAATTTCAACCCACGCAGACATCCGTCACGGACAAAAAAACAGAAGTGCCATAGTGATCTCTACATGGTTCATACCTACTTAACTTGGCTAAACCCTTGTGTACAATTAACAGGATACGTTTGACCAGAAAATATAAATACAATATTCATCTAAATATATCCTTCCTAATTAAGTAATCATTGACAAAAACGTCATGCCCAACTTAGCCTTACATTTCACCCTGATGCAGAATGAGTTCGAGGCATACGTCTTCTCTAAGGCTTGTAGTCACCTATATATCATTGGTCATCTTAAATATGATGATAAAGAAAAACTCATAAAAACAATTAATTGTGTTTTATTAGACCCATCTTAAAACATTGTTTGGTGTTATTGCATTAAAGAGCAATCTGCTTCAAAGTCTGCAACTGATGATGCTGGAATTATTACCAGTGTCCGAGGTGAGGGTATCATCAAATGCAGAATTATTTTTTAAACAATTGGTTGCATACACTCTCTGAACTGCTATGTTTCAACAAAAAAAATTCTGTTTTAAATTCCTCAGTGAAGGTCTTCCTACACAGATAAGACTTATGTTTCCTACAATAAATAGCAAAATGCATATTTCCAGCCCAAGGTCAATTTAAGATAACCCACAGCAGACGCATTTTCATTTATCAAAAAACAAATATTTCCCATAAAATTGCAAAGTTTGGAATACCATTGATGATAAAGCTCTTGAAGCGAATTCTCCATTCTTTCCTCAAAGAAATGAGTTTGTCAGAATATTAACTAAAAAAAATTAATTTCTATCAAATCTTTATAAAATTGATAATACTTTATATTTTCTCTCCGTAACAACTTTAATCCCAGAAACCCTCTCTATATAATTACCTTTCAAAGTCGTAATAAACACAAGATGCACTATTTTAAACAATATGCATTAGTTTGCTGTCATGCATTATTATCTATTTTAGACCCATGCTAATGGAAAATAAAAATGAATGGATAATTGCAGGGATGACTTATTTGTTGCGCACTCTGATTCCAACTAAGGTCACACTCTAAATTAGACAGGATGGTTTAATTTATTATGGCAATTCGGCGGCAATGACCAACATAGAGATAAAATAAATTTAATTTGTTTTAGCAAATTTACGGCCATAACACGTGCGATTAGTTCATAAGTTCATATATTAACAGGATAATATTGTTTTCTGGTTATTTGCTTTTTTTGTAACAAGTCAATAATGTTATCATTATTACTCCTGTCATATATGACTTGCATCTATTGCATAAAGAAAGAAAGAAAAAAGTCTTACATATGTATTTCAAAAGGATGATAATTCAAATAAATATAAAAGTGTTGTACATTTGTATTTCAAAACGATGATAATCTGAGAAAGAAACGTGTCTTTCATCTGTATTTCAAATGAACAACCATTCAAATAAATAGAAATGAGTCTTATATCTGTATTTCAAAAGGATGATAATTCAAGAAATATAAAAGCGTCTTACATCTGTATTTCACAAAGATGACAATGCAAAGAAATAGAAAAGTGTGTTACATCTATATTTCAAAAGGATGACAATTATAAAAAATATAAAAGTCTTACATCTGTATTTCAAAAAGATAACAATTCAAAAAAATAGAAAAGTGTCCTATATTTGTGTTTCAAAAAGATAACAAGTCAAATAAATAGAAAGTGTCCTATATTTGTGTTTCAAAAGGATGACAATTCAAAGAAAAATAAGTGTCTTACATCTGTATTTTAAAAGAATGACAATTCAAAAAATAAGGTAAAAGTGACTTACATCTCTATTTCAGAAGGATGACAATGGAAAGAAATATAGAAATATAAAAATGGCACAGTGGTTAGAGCGACCGCCTCGAATGCGGGATGTTGCGGGTTCGATCCCCGGTCGAGTCATACCAACGACTTTGAAAAAAGGTTCTAACAGCTGCCTCGCTTGGCGCTCAGCATTAAGAGGTTTGTTTTAGGACTGATTGGCCTTGTGTCAGGATAATATGACTGGGTGGGACATTATGTTGAATATCCGCGGAATGACGCTCTTGTGCTATACATCACTATCACACTGTAGACATCGTAGCGATGACTTAAAAATTGTTAAAGCTAAGTTAAAAAGTCTAAATCTTATAACATATCACATCAAAGAAAGATAAAAGTGTCTTAATCTGTATTTCAGAAGAATGACAATTCAAATAAATGTAAAAGTGTCTTACATCTGTATTTCAGAAGAATGAAAATTCATAGAAGGATAAAAGTGTCTTACATCGGTATTTCAGAAGAATGACAATTCAAATAAGATACTCGGTTGGAGTGAAACGACCAGTGTGATTGACAATTCCACTACACTATCGTCAGTCCTAGAATCAACACTGAAACATCTGAAGGAAATGGAAAAGCTCTCTAAAAACATTTTGGCGCAATAATTGTGAAAAGATTGATTACGTTCGCTCAGACAGTTTAAATCGATCATGAACACAAATATAAGGGTTTGTGAATATTTCCAAAAAACTTCCAGACCGTGTCTGTATTTGCAAATAGATACTTAAAGGGGACAAAAACCCTGACCTGCAAAATTTTATTATAAATAGAAAGATATGTAGTAGTTCGTGTATATAATCTAAACTGACTATTTTTTTCTTTGCTTTTTTTGTATTTGCACAAACATTTAATAATAAATATGGAAAGAACCAACCCCCAAGTTGTTATCTCCCTTTCATACAAGAAGGATGTGACGTCATTTGCGACGATTCCCGTTCAACAGGCATATTCATATTCAGTATCAAGTAGAAACGATGTTTCAATGCGCAGCTCTGAATTGTGTGAATAAAAGCAGTTCCGGACAAATTTTTTTCACATTTCCAAAGGACCCTGAAAGGTGGTTTGTATGGGTGATCAAATTAAAGAGAGATGGGATTTATGACCAAGACATTTCGAGCATGAAAGTTTGAATGGCAGAGCCGAGATATCGAGTGAGATAGATAATTTTAATGTATATAGAAGGAACTGAAGCTTCCGTAAGAAGACAAAAATCACTGTCTTTATTGTTTCTGATTAACACCCACGCCCTAGCCCACGTGACCTTACCCTCATACCCCTACCCATGGCAAAAAATAAAAAGGAAGGAACAATGTAATAAAACAAGATTTAAGGAACACGGAAACATAATCTCTTGGCAGGATAAATTTAACACTAACCCCTCAGATTTATAATTAATTATAAATAATAGGTATTTACATGAAATTATAATTTGACATCTAACTAGTAAACATACAGTATCATAGAATCCATATTGTATACGCTGTTAATGGTTATTTGAAAGAAATATGTATAACATGACAACTACGTAACGAAACAGAATCGAAACCTTGCCTAGAATGAAATTTCTATTCAGAAAGCAGTTGACCTTAAATGAAACCTTATACCCTGGTATACTAGGAGTACACTCGTAGTACACTACTTTTACTAGTGAGCTAATTTTACACAATTAAAATTGCACAGAATGGTTCACTCTAGTCATCGAGGTAGTACACTCGAGAAAATCACTTAGTGTGCTGCATTCAGTAGTGTACTAACGGGATGGGAGGGGGTCTTGAGGCGCTAATGCAGCGGATAAAAAGTAAATTGCAGGAAAATCGTGGCGGGTCACCATCGTCTCCCAGGGAGCCTTTTACCTTAGTACGCCACTGACTGTAGCGAAAAACGTAGTTTACTATAATAAACAAGACAGTGCGCTATTATCTGAAAAGAATGAACTCAGTTCACTTAGACAAATGAGTTATGGCAGTGTTTATGAACATTTTGGTGACTCAATATTGCGTATATATTATAATACTTTGAGCATTAGAGAGATAACAAGGATGATGAAAGTGGCAATGATAACGATAGCTATATTGCCGATGATTTGAAAATAAGGGACGCTCTTACTTCTATGCTTCGCTATATTTCATTAAATAATAATTGCAGAATAATTAGAGTAAAAGTGCCAGTAGTAGTAGTAGTAGTAGTAGTAGTAGTAGTTAGTAGTAGAAGTAGTAGTAGTAGTGGCAGTTATTGTTGTTGCTGTCCATGTTGTTATTATCGTATTTTCCTATAATATCGTCTAGTATAAAATCATTATTGAAAAGATAGCTAAATAGAGTTATATTGCTAACTAGATTGCTAAATGGATGTTATCTGTCGGCACAATAATGAAGATATGTTAATGTGTTTCATTATACAATTACAATTCACTGTTTATTGTCTCCGTAGTTATAACAAATATGATTATTCACCATACATTAGCTGTAATAACGCCATTTACTTTCAAAACATATGACTTTTCACGAATTGCTGCTTTCTTTATCGTGAGAGCACACGTCTTCTGGACTAGTATAAGTATTTAGTTCCGCTTTCTGTCTAATCATCTGCCCCAAAGCAGGCATTAGAATGCGACTAAATGAAATTATATCCTCATTAATAAATACTCCCCGACGTATGACTGTTCCTGTCATTATCTTAGTGACCATTTATCGACGAGATGTTTTAATGAAAAGGTATCTATTTACAAACACAAAATATTTTTCTCCTTCACTTTTTCCCGAACATTTCTCTTGCAAATGCTATAAAAATTATCATGATGAATGTTGTTGACTTTCCGAAATAAAAGGTTTGTGAACAGGCCTAATATTTAAAATTGTAAAGCGATTTTTCACGAAGAAACATGTTCCTCATAAAATTGTTATGTTCCATGAAGATAATTACTTTTTTTCGAGGAATTCACATTTTTCACACGTTTTTAAAAATTGTCACGAATAATGTCGCAGTTTTGTGGAAATAAATTGAGCCGACGATGCGAGGGACGTGATATATGATTCCGATTATGTTATAGAGCATTGGTTGTCGTTAGGAGATGATCGCCCATGATATTATTGCCAAGATCAAGTACGAGTAATTAACAAATTTAAAATATGAATTAATTCATGGATCTGAGCAAAGAAATAAAATAGAGCAACACGATCCCAGTATATAAAATATAAAACCAAAGTGCCAGCATGTCAGCACAACCTGGTTACTTCCGGTCCCTTCCAAATCAATGTTGGTTTTCAAGTCAAAGTTGACGTATTTATTCTCTCTCTCTCTCTCTCTCTCTCTCTCTCTCTCTCTCTCTCTCTCTCTCTCTCTCTCTCTCTCTCTCTCTCTCTCTCTCTCTCTCTCTCTCTCTCTCTCTCTCTCTAACGTCTTGGGGTCAGCCGTAATTTGGTTGCAGTCTCCACTCCTTTTTACTTGATAGCACAGGTATGGAGCTATTTGCCCCCTTTCTGCCCTTTCAAGACTTGCTCTTTCTATACAGTCGAATCTCTCTAGCTTATTCCGAGTCTCTCAAATTCTCCCAGAGCACCGTCCCTTGGACAATTTAAGGAAATTTGACTTGGATTTTTTTTCCTAAGCTAATTTGCGGCTTCCCTCAAAAAAATAACTAATTTTGAGAGGATGTTACTTAAAACCACGAATTTCATCCGGCAACCCAGTCCGCCTCGTTTAGCTTATCCAGTCAAGATTAACATCATTTGACAGCTAAAATGTTTACATTCCGATCGAAGTGAGAATAATTCTCTCTTGTACTCCTTTATTAATAAATCTGCTGAAAAATATAATGTTATGACACCTATTTAAAAAGGGCAAATTAAAATTGACTCATAGCTCCAAACAGAGCATTTTCCATCATTCGTAGGCACCATTTTACAGCCCATACGTAAATCTTAATTGTACGTTTCACGCTAACCACGACAAAATGCGCTGCAACAAAATATCTACAAACATTTTGCACCATTACATACAGAAAAAAGCAATTTCGTGTAAAGAAAGTGACATACTTTATGAAACAGTGAGGAAAAACAATTCTCAAGAAATCCATGCATCGACATTTAAAAGCACTTTTTCGTGAAAAATATCAACATTTTTCATAAAGATTTCGATATTTTCATGAAAGAGGTAACGTTTTTGTTAACAATTGATCCATTCACACTATCATTTTCTTTCGTGATAAAGGTTAAAGTCCTGTACGATGCATTTCATCGCCAAGGAAGTAACATTTTCGTAAATATCTTAGTGAACATTTAAAATCATCTCTAATAAAAAAAAAAGAAAATTACTTTCATTGTCTTCTTTATATGTAATAATTAATAATTTTTCATAAATTTCGACTTGTCTCGAGCAGAAAGTAATTTTTATGACGTTTCAACTGTTCACGTGTACAGAACTCATTTCGCGAAGAAATCAGCCTTCGTGTAGATTGTATCACCAGCCGCTCATGTCATAAAACATCCCAACACTCTGAGAGGAACCATCACTAGCTGATAAGAAATAAAAGAATATTAGATCCGTTACCTAACGGTTACCAATTACGACCTTAAAATTGGTCGGAAATACTGTAGCATATCCGCCATACCCCAAATCTCGCGGACAACATGAATAGTATAAATATTGATTTATTGATTTAATCCGAGACAAGCCTCCAGGATCGGCCGACTGGATTTGGTGCATAAAGGTAACGTACGTCAATGTACACAGCAATAGAGTTGGCAGGGTTGAAACTAGATACAATGCAACAAAACCTGTATACAGATCGTGAAGATTTTGTCTTTTGCATTAAAATCATACCTTTACACTTCGAGTGAAACCACCCACAACACGTTATTCAGTTTGCAACAAGTTTATTTCCCGAAAATAGTAATTTTCTTCGCAAAACGTGTCGTTACATATCAATGCATTTTCAAGAAATCAGGAAACGATTTCGTGCAAAACAACAGTCTTCGTGAAAGAAGAGATTCTTTCCATGAAAAAGTACTAACTTCAAGAAATTATCTGATATTTATTCGTGAAAACAGACCATTCATCAGAATATGTTTCGTTTGGAAATT